TTTTTTTTATATACATATATATTACTATATGGCACCCCCTATTTTTAATATAAACTCATATGTATAATTAAATGAATAACCCAAATTTATTTTTTTATTCAACTTTTGGACTTCTGGTACGGCCTGCTATGTGGTATCACTTTGGAATTTTTTTTTTTTTTAAAAAAATGTAGCGCCTCATTTGATCATTCCAATTCTCGGCCCCCCAGTATTGAAATCCTGGCTCCGTCCCTGCCACTCACTATCTTTACTTGTCATTTTGTCACTTGTGGTTCCTTTGTGATTGTTCAACAAATCTTTTAGAGTTTGCCATTGTTCAGAACTTAGTCCACTCAATGCATTTACGTTAGTCCTGTTGGTTTCTCCATTCACTTGCATTGCATTTGCTCGAAAACCTCCATTTCTTCCTCCAATCAAATTTCCTGAATTATCTTTTGCATGCAAGTCATATACATGATATCTTGAAAGTTACTTAATATTTTTTTAATTTTAGAAACTAATATTACAATCATCACCATTTCAAAAAGACTAAAATAATTATATATTATATACTATTAATAACCTAACTTTTTTTACATTGAAATATGAAAATTAAATATTAAGAATCACTTTAAGTAACTAAAGTTTAAAGAAGTGCTTTATTTTTATTTATGATATGTTCTAGTAGATTCCTTATTGTATGTTTAAAGAACATAATTATTTAGATATCAATAAAGTAAATTTAATAGTCATCGTGAATTCACATAAATAATATAGGATTTGATTGAAAGTTTAACACCTCATGCAATTAATGCTAGTCTTGAGCATAAGCTGGTTGGACAACCACCAAAATCTCATTATTGGAGGGGCACCATAAAAAAATGTTATTTAGTCAATACAATATAAAAAAATCCCATAAATAAATTATATAAAAAGAATTAGAGAGTAAAATAAATAATTAATTAATTAATAATTATTCTTTTCACCAATCAACAAAAATTTGTCCATGATTTTAATAAAATAAGTCAATAATATTAAATGTAAAGATAAAAATGTGATGTATTATTAATATATTACCTTTTTTTTTCTTGATATGGACTTCTGTAGATATTAATGTAAAATCATAAATAGAGGTCAATGTAATGTATTATTAACTTATTTCTTCTATTTTTTCCCTCTATGTAAACTTTCACAAGTGTTAATATAAAATTGTAAATAAAGGTTGTCTTTAACTTTTTTTCTTTCATTATCTCTAATTTATTTAGTTCTCTTTCTATTTTTTAAAATCACTGTCTATCTTACTTCATTGAAATCTTAAAATCAAGTCATGGACTTCCATCTCTTAACTGAACTTTTTTGCGACATGTCACTATTATTGATCCATTTTTTAATACACAATGCCCTCATGGAATAACTTATAATCTTGTATGACTATAGTGTATGTTTAGTCATTTTATTTGACAATTGTATGTTTAATTACTTGTACATTTTACATTTTTAGGTCTAGGAACTGAAATCATAAGTAGTATCCAGATAATTATAAGAGTATTTATTTTTTCAATTTGCTTGGAGCACAAAAGAACTCAAGACTAGCCTTGCATACGAACATAAAATCTTATTTTTGATTGGTATACATATTCAAAGACCCTAAGTTCATCAAGTAAATTTTTTATTAGACTGGACATTATCAAACTTCGACTAACTATTAAATGAATAATTAATAATATTTAGTTTGACTTTTAAAAATTTTCAGCATTTCATTGTTTCTTTAGCCGGTTGTCATGGGAATATCATCCACTATTTATCATTGTATTAATAAAAAATAAATAAATAAACATTAAAATTTAGTTTTCTTTTTATAATTTTACTTTTAAAAGCTTTTTAAAAGAAAATTGAGTTTCTTACCGCCCTAAGCAACAGGTATTAATAAATGAAATAATTCAGCTCATTGTAAACCTGAACGTAAAACAAATTTCGCGAGTCTATTAAATATTTCGAGAAAATAATACGGTGGTTCCTATTCAACCAAAATAAAATAGAATAAGGTGGTCCCAAGATTCGCTTTCAATTTTCTTTTTTCATATTGTTATTTGTACATTTTTCTGTGTCCACTTAAAGACATCATCCATTGAAGAGTTTTAAAAACTGGTAAAGTGCAGAGAAATTGTGAAGAAAAGGAGTTTGCGTACAAATTACTTTATTGTTTCTCATACTTTTCCACGACACCATAAACCGGTAACTTCCTCTTTTTTTCGTTTATTTTTTAATCACATTACTCACTACATTAATCTTATAGCATTATAAATGTGGAAAAAAAATCATAATTCAACTTTCGTAACCAATGAGAAATGGTTTTAAGAAAGGAAAAAAATAGTGAAATTTAAAAAATTAGTATTTTAGCAAGTGTAATGTACAAGTTAAATAATTATTATATTTAATTAAAATTTCTAATAAATTATATATAAATAAATATAATATTTAAATATATAAATCATATTTAAAATTTGTATAAATAAATATTTTTAAATATATAAATTATATTTTAAATTTTGGATAAATAATTTATATTGTCAAATAATATTATTTTATTTATTGATAATTTATTTTAAAATTTTAAAATTTAATTCATAAATAATTATAATGAATAAATACCAAATTAGATATAAGAAGTTAAAATATTTATAAAAAATCTTGTTGAGAAAAATTATAAAATTATTTTATAGATGTTCATATTTAATATGTAAGAATTAATTAATAAAAATGTAATAACATATTTTTATTTTTATTTTCATAATCACATATTTTTATTTCTAACAACAATTAAACCCTTATCCTTTTAAGTGATATTAACTACACTCACACAATTCTATTGACTCGGTCAAAAATTAAATCTTTCATATTTCTCTAAACAATTTCGGATAATATTTATAATCTCTCTTTTTTCATAAATTATACTGAATAAGGAGATGTGCTTCGTATCACCCCTTTTATAGACTGGTGCAAAGCATCTCTTCTTTTAACTTGACGGGAGGAGGATTATCGTCACTCCATGTGTTTCATGAAACAAATCAAGTAGCAAATAAAATAGTCAATTTTTGGATTAACCTTTGAGTATAATATTGATGTTTTTATGTTGTTAAACCTTTTTTTGCTTTCATTGTTAGAGCTGATATTGGTCAAACTGTATATCATCGTGATTTTTAATTGATCATGGTTTTCACCCCTTATCTTAACCAAAAAAAAAAAAAACTACATTCACACAACTCTATTGACTCGATCGGTCAAAAACTAAATCTTCAAAAGTATTTCTCCAAACAATTTCAGATAATATTTATAGTCTCCCTTTTTCCATAAATTATATTGAATTATATTTTTGTGTCTCTATTTTTGTTAGTATGTAATTTTGATCTCTTTATTTTAATATAGAGACATTTAGTTTCCTAATTGTAAAAATATGAAGTTTTGTTTTTTCAAAAAAATTAAAATGTATTAATCGTTAAATTTTAATATTCATTTATATTTAAATGATATAATATTTAGTAATATAATATTTAGAAATTAAAAAATTAAAAAATTAGTCATGAAAATAAGATATATCAATAAAAATAAATATCAATAACTTTTTAAAATTAATACAAATAAATATCTTTTGTATGTTATTTTTTAATTCTTATTCTTGCATATTATGTTACTAAAATCACGTTACTTAAATAATGACAAATTGACTAAATGTCTCTATATTAAAATTGAATGACAAAAGTTGTAGATTATCCAAAATAAAGAGATCAAAATTATAATTTAATATATAAATTACTATTCACGGTATTTTTAATAGACTTTTAAGTATCAAAATAACTCTAAAGGAGTTCTTACATGTGGAAATGATTTTAATTGCTTTTATTTTTTTTATCTAAACTATTTGAAAAAACAAATTCCTTTCATTAACTATTTAAACAACATCGAAATTTTAGAGGATTTAAAGGGAAAAAAAAAGAGGTTAAACTTAAGCATTTTTCTATATATATATTAGACTAAGTTATTGTTGAATTGCATCATTAATCAATATTTCAAGATGTTGCTACTTTTATATCTTGTAAGTGATAGAAGGCATAAATACTTGTATCAACCTTGTGTATCCTGATTCCTGGTATCATGTTATGTACCCTTAGTTAGTCTATATCATATTTTACATAAGTCTCTTAGATGGAAATTATACTATACGTCACTTTTAGCACACTAGAATAGACAAAAACACAAAAGTGACCAACAAAATTATGGGTCTTGAATAGACCTTTGTAAAACTTCAGAAATTATCTAAATAACTCCAAAGCAAAAAAGAAACAAAAATAAAATTATAAACACAAAGTCTAATTAACATATGAATCAATTCTCACAAAGTTATGGTGTCACGTTTGTAAATGTTCCTCATTGGATGGTTCCTTTCGGTGATTATGGTAACCTTTTCTTCGAATAAGGTCCCCAAATCTTCTTAGCAAAGCTCTTCGTTTCCTTGAGTTTCTGTCACCCTCGGGATCATCAAAATGTGATTCATCTAGATGGTCAAAATCATCAGGGATTCCCATTTCTCCATCGTGACGTAATTCTGAATCCGATGAATCCACTTCATCAAATATTGAACCTCTTAATGTGTCATCATCTGTATCCTTGTTGGTCTCTTCGTTCCCCACCTTGTTGTTGTGTTGTTGCTTGTGGGGTGTTATCATATCCTTCAAATTAAGACTAAAAGTTTTGTTCAAACTCTTAGATTCTTTATGCTCCCTATGATCCATTGAGGGATGATGTGCCTTTGCTTTTCTCCCTGATTCCTTATCCTCCTTGCCACCTTCTTTTGGCTTCTCAACATCTTCGTGTTTGAACTCCTTCATGGATGATTCTGATAGCATACGTTTCAACTCTCTAATATTCTCAAATGACGCAGCTTCATGGATTTTCAGCATCTCATTCTCGTGGACAAGTAGGTTAAGACCATCTTGTAGTCGAGCATTTTCAGCCTTTGCAATTTCCGCAGCCTCTTTTGCGACATTAGCTTCATTCAAGGCTTGTTTTAGTATATCACGTAACTTTTGATTTTCATCCTTGGAAACTCTTATCTTGTTTTCCGCTTCATTTAGCATCTCAATAACTCTAGTGGTTTCTTTTTGTGAACGTAACCTTTCCTCTTCAGCTCTTCTAATGCAATTTACAAGCTCAGTTTCCTTCCCATTCCATGCCAAAAGGGACTCTTCAGCCTCTAATCTCAATCTCTCAGCTGTATTTTTGTATCTATCAGCTTCTTTCCTAGTTGCTTCTAGAAGTACCTTGTACTTTTCTTCTGTGCTTCCTAACATTGTCCTCCAACGCTCTGCATCCCCTTTGGTGTGTTCTAGTTCCACTTGGCTCAGGGTTAGTTTTGCCTTTACCTGGTTGGCTTCTGTTGCCACTTCTTTGAGTGCAAATGCCAAATCATCCATGGCCTTCTTGCTATTTTCCTCTGCTTCCATTGCTAACTTCAATTCATTTTTAAGTATATTTATCTCTTCAAGCGTGGTTTTGGCCTTCTTGGGTCGTCCTTCATCATTGAACAACTCATCTTCTAGCTCGGCTTCAATTTCCAAGCCCTTTACACTTTTTTTTCTAGAAAAGCTATGGTCCATCACTACAAAAAATCAAAGAATTAGATATCAAGTTTAATGACAAAATTTATTTTTTTCATCACCTATCTTAGGGTCATTAAAGTTAATTAGCGACGAAAATTCATTTTTCATCACCAATAGCAGGACTATAAAAACGCCAAAACGCCTAGTGATAATTTTATTATTAATTTGAGACCCATACATACTCACCAGGAGTTTTGATGGTTTGGGTGGCACTCACTTGAAGAGGCTTTAGTTTTTCTTCTAGAGAAGTGATTTCAAGCTTTGATTCTTCAAGCAAAATCTTATTTTGCTCTAACTGTTTTGTTTGCATTACCAATGTGTCAAACAAATTTGCTTCTGATTCTTTTCGCTTGTCTAGTTCAGCCTCCAACTTTTGAATTTTCCTTCTATAATCAGACAATATGGCCATTACATTAGCTTCAGATGATCTAAGATAATCCATCTCGTTCCTCATGTTGTCCAACAAAGCATCTTTTGCTGACAATCGTTGTTTTGATGGTTCAATGTTGTTGTCTTTAATACCCATGTGTTGTTTTATTACATGTGGATCTGAAATTGTTCTCTTAATGGATAACGCTTCATCAACCCTGACATTAGTCTCCTTAGCAACCTTTCTCATTTGTGTCAGCTCATTGAAGGCTCGACTTCTCTCTTCATCAGCTTTTCTCACTTGCTCTGCCATCAGATTCAATTTCTTTTCATATTGTTCCACGTAAAGTTGTTGTTGCATCTTCCAAACCTTTCCAATTTAATTTTCACAAGCTATACCTTCCAAAAACAACGACCATATTTAGAACAAATATCAATAAGCATGGTAATTTGTAGATTGAAAGAGTATATTTTTTAACCCTCATCATGATTACAATCACAAACAAATTAACAAGAAAAGAAATAGGTAAGTATTGACGATTACAATCAAAGAACGGGCAGGGATGTTGTTCCAAATTTAGTTATTCCAAACTGAATTTAGTGCATGAAACAAAGTTTGAGGTAATGATTGAAGAACTGCAAAATATCCTTTAAGAGCAATGCGAGGAAATGAGGTGAATGGAAATTAGGCATGTAGAATAACAAAGATGAATGTTTGACCCTAGATAACTTTACATTTAAGAAACTTCTATTATAAGATTATGGAGAAAACAACACGAAAAAGTCGCAAGATAAGAGCATACAAAAGAATTTAGTTAGAAATGTCCGAAGTTGACGGAGTTTCCTCTGAAACTGATGTCAACGTTGGATCATAAAATAATATGTTAGTTATGTGGTAAATGAAGATAAGAGAAAACTTTGAAATTTTTGGATATAGTCATTCAGCCGACATAAGACGTAATCTACGCTAAACCAATCAATGCTTTTTAACCTTAAAAAATGAAAATAATTTTTCATAATTTTCTTAATAAATTTCATCCCTCAACCGAACTAATATAATCTTAAGTAATGATGTGTTTAACATATTAGAAAGAAGAAGAAAAAATAATATCTTAGTAAAAAAAGGATATAGGTTATAGGCTATTTTTTATAATAATTTTTTATCCAACTTATATATTGATGATCGGTAAGAAGACATTAAATCTTGTGTAAAAGAGGATTAATTAATATAAACCATAATCAATGTGTACCTTATGAACAACCTTTCTTTCCTTACAAAATATTTTGGCCTAAATTTAATATATACAACCCATTCTAGGTTACAAGAAAATTCTACAGCGCCTCCTGCTTCATCATTCACCATCCTGTATATGGTATTAAGAGTTATATCAACACTTTTTTGACAGTATTTATTATTTTCTAGTTAAATTTTTTTCAAAATACAAAAAACATTAACTAGATTAGTTAGGTTTACAAAAAATATTATTTTCAATTGTTAATGTAAGCATTATTTCGACCGGTGTCAAAATAATATTTCACTTTTAGAAATATATGATGAAAAAAAAATTAAGGATTTATGCTTAGTTCTTGTATATGATTTGTACTTAGCGGATTACTATAACTGGTTAGCACACATAGCACTATATACTCCGTTGACATTAACCATATCCATAATACTACTGTAGAGAAATATTCCAGTTTTTAAATTGTTAGAGTTCGCCATAAATATTTATAAAGCGAAAGCGAAAGTGTACTATTAACGAGCAAAGTCAAAATATTAATTCGTTGGTTTTTTAAATATAAATTCGTTGTTAATATATAGAAGGAAATACCTGGCTGAGAGTACAAGACATGTCCCTCTTATATGATTATTAACTATTAAGTGCACGTTTGTCACAACCTTACAAGATCGGTAAATTCACCTTTATATAGGCCTTTTTACTACTAAATATCGTATGAAAAATGATATTTCATCAGAAACTTACTAAAAAATATTCTCCGAACGTTTAAAACTTTAGAATATTAAAATTAGAGAAACATTTTATCTAAAATTATTGAGAAGTGTAAATTATTGAATGGTTCAGGACATTTTTTCGAAATATATAGCAGTTGTCATATTGTATAGCCTTTTAGTCTTTTAGACGAGTGATATGAGGTAAGTCACAACCTTGGATTCTCTGTGGTTCTATCAGATCGACCTTGACCCAACAAAGGACTTGAATATACAGTCATACCAAGCAGACTATTGATAGATTGGACGTGGCTATACAGACTTAGAACTAGCAGCTTTGCCAAAATAAATAGTAACTTTGTTTGAAAAACTGTATTTTTATTGATAAAAATTACAGTCAGTACTAAAAGATTCACAATCAATCACTCGCACATTGATTAGATGAGCTAGACGCCAGTGTCTTTTTACCAGAAACAATCTCTCTTATATTTATTTATATATAAACTAAAATTTATAAGAAATTATATATAAAAATGTTGACCAAAAAAAAATATAAAAATAAATATTATATTTCAATATATAAATTATATTAAAATTTGTAAAAATAGATATTTTTAAACATAAATTATAATTTTTTTTATTATAAATATGTACAGTATCATTTTTATTTATTAATAATTCATTTTAAAAATATTAAAGTTTAATTGATAAATTATCATAATAAATAAAAATCAAATTAGATTAAAAAAATCAAAGAAAAATATTCTAATTAAAAAAATCCCTAAAAATGCTTTCATAAAAAAAATTTGTTTAATATATAGGAATTAAGTTCATATTTAATATATAAAAATTTATATATATATATATATATATATATATCATTTCTTTTATTATATGTTACATGTCTCCGTTTATTTTGACTCTCGAGACAATTATATAATTCAAGATCACTTATATAGCCTAAGCGTACATAGATAATCGGATTCGAGGGTAAAATAGTTTTAGTAAAGAAAACATAGAAGACTGGGTTTTTTATAAAAGCGATCACTATTCTCACGAAAAAATCTTGGAATAATCTACCCTCTTCTTCCCTTTTGGGCGTTTCTTACCTAATTTGCCAGAGCGACCAAAAGACAGTCGGTGGGGAGCAGATCAATAACAAGCAAACTGATAAAAAAGCTGGTGATCATTGCAAGCAAAACTGCATAATTAAGATACAAGTGACATTGTCAAACACACTATTCTTGCTGACTTGGTCTATCCGGCGTCATTCCACAAGACATGTAACTTCTTAATTTTTGCTTGATTATTAAGAAAATAATAATCCATTCATTGAATCATCATCCCCATTACCTATATGAGTAGTTCAATGTAACTCAGCTGCGTTTAACACAACGATATAGTTCTCAACCCTGCTAAATTCGACATTAGATCCTTTTCACTCATCTTTTTTCTTTACAGAAGAAACTTAATTTACATTTACGACAATCAAGGTCCATATATCAATAAACAAGACAAATTGGTTGATGTCATATATTAGATTTATATCCGACAGATTTCATTGACGCCCCACACGTTATACATACTTGTACATGCACGTATATTCTACAAATAAGTTACAGAAGACCGGTTATTATGAAACAAGGTGAACAATAATTACAAACCATCAACTTGGACCAGAACAAGCACAATAAGCTTAGCTTAAACCAAATTAGATGGCAACTTAATGTTGTCCAATACAATTCCAAAGTGGCTGCACATCCAGACAAAACATTTTCACAGACACGTCTCCAAAAATCAATTACATAACAATTTCTTGCAGAGAAGACAGTCACAAACCCTTAACAGTATTTGTCTATATAACAATTGATCGACTACCAGTAAAACACCTACTTCCCTACCAACCTATCCTTTGAATAAAGAAGAAATCTGAATAACAAAACACCATCACGAGCAGCCACATCTAAACAAACACCAACCCTACCATCTCCTCAAGCACGCTCCCCACGGATCCTCCTTGCTAGCTGGATATCCTTGGGCATAATAGTCACACGCTTGGCATGAATGGCACACAAGTTGGTGTCCTCAAAGAGCCCAACGAGGTATGCCTCGGCAGCCTCTTGCAACGCAAGCACAGCATGGCTCTGGAAACGAAGATCAGTCTGAAAAAACAGCAAAATCCCAAATTAGAGGCTATTAATCAAAAAGACAATGCTTTTAACACAGCAGCAACCAAAAAAATAGAGAATACCTTGAAATCCTGAGCAATTTCACGAACCAACCTCTGGAATGGGAGCTTCCTGATAAGAAGCTCAGTACTCTTCTGGTATTTCCTAATCTCACTGTTTCAATAACCAATTTCATCATTAGATACATATAATGTTAAAGAAAAGCAGACAAAGTCAACCCAAATGGCTCCTAGCAGATATATTTCAACACTGACCGAAGAGCAACAGTTCCGGGACGATATCGATGTGGCTTCTTCACACCCCCAGTTGTTGGTGCAGACTTACGCGCAGCCTAAAATATAACAGAGAAAACAACCTGTTATAAATCAATCTAAAAACCCAATATTAATTATTATTTAATCATCATGATTCAAAAACAAACCTTGGTTGCAAGCTGCTTCCTGGGAGCTTTTCCTCCAGTTGACTTACGAGCAGTTTGCTTTGTACGGGCCATCTGTATCAACGTCAATTCAGAAAATATTGATATAAAAAAACGTAAGAGAACACAAATTCTGGTAAATTAGAGATCAAAGATAACACTCAGAATCGGCCAAACAGATACATAAATATAGGACGTCTAATTCCCTCACACCCACATCGAATTGCTAACTTCTAGTTGAAAATCGTGCCGTATATGCCATTATAAACTAGATGACCAAATCAACGCAATGGAAGTCTAAAAACCCTAATTTAAACTATTAAAACGAGGGATACGGAATTTGAAACGAGAAAAATCCCAGCAATTACACATAGACATACGGTGTGAAAGAAAGCAGAAACAAAGAGAAAATCGATTCCATCGTCTTACAAACCCTAAACCAGACTCAAACGCTCATTCAAAAAATCCAATAAACCTATGACAAATTCGAACTATGATAAAACGACAACGCCGAGCAATTCTCCAGAACGAGCAAAAAAACGGAATATAATATACATAAGCGCGAAGGAGCACTAACCTCAAACGACTCTGGTCTCTTGTTCAGAAACTGAGTTGCAGAATCTAGAAGAAAAGAATGTAAAGGTTCAAATTGTTAGGAATGATAGGGCTATATATAGGGTGAAGATGGGGGCGTTGGAGATTGATCGGACGGATATAAAATGCCATCCGTGTGTTTTTGGCCGTAATTAATCGAACGGCTCCTGGTGTCAGGAACTGTGTTTTCTGAACTTGAATAGGCGGCTGCGATGCCATTTGGGACTCAAGACACGGATCGTGAAATCTAATTGCCTACTTTCTATTGGTTGCTTTCACTGACAATTGCAGCCACGTTGGATTATGTATTACGGAGTAGTCTTTTTTTCTTGCCCTTTCTTTTTGGGCTGAGGCCCATAAAGCTTCCGGAGGTCCTCTTTTAGGTGCACTTTTTTTTTTCTTAAAAAAAAACATAACGAGTATTTTCCTTTTTCTATTATCTTATCTTAATTAATTAATTAATATATATATATATATATATATATATATTGCAAAGAAATTCTTTCATATCCTATCTTAATTAATATATATATATAACAAAGATATTCTTACATAATATTTTTCGTTCACTTTTTCAGTTATTTTTCTAATTATAAATAGGTATAATTATCTAATTAAATTGATATTTTTCTTCTCAAATAATTTTATTAGTTAGGAAAATTATTATATAATCAAATTATCATTATTTTTCTCAAATAATCTCACTTATTAGAAAAAAAATTATTCATAAATACTTTTTTTTGGTAAAGAAAAAAAAATACAGTTTCATAAATACTTGATATTTGATAATGAAATTTGTAATAAATTTTACTATTTTTCAAAAATACATTTTCTTAAAGAATTATCTCTTTCGTTACTGGAATTTATATGAAAGAGATTATTATTTCTATAAATAAGATTTAGAATGGATCTCATTCTAATTCATAGACAACTCTGTTGTCTCACCTTTCTTTGTTGATTTTCTATATCATGTATAGTCTCTTCCTCATCGACCCTTTTGAACTCAAAGTTTCTTTCTCACAAAAACTTCTCATTAAAACATATAAACATGAGTATTTTATGTTTAATAAATAAATAATTTGATAAAAAATATAAATTTAATATTTTTAATGTAATTAAATATTAATTAATGTTACATTGACGTTTCATTACTAATTATTAATATACTACTTGATTTTAAATTTAAATAAAAAGAAAAAAATAATTATAACTTATATAATATTATCATGATGAGAAAAGGTTTAAATATTATATCATACGGATTATAAAATAACTTGAGCCTACCACATGTAACGAAACTAATATAAATGTTTAACTTTTTTTAATTTCTTTCACCATTCATATATTTATTATCTTAATTATTATCGAATTGAATAGTTCAAATAAGATTTTAAAATTCTCTCATTACAGGTGCAAAACATTAATATATCCTACCTATTATTCATTGAGCACAAAGAAGAAAAACTCATAACTAAGGAGGTTTTCATGAAGAAAAAAATGTTGCAAAAAATATTTTAGATTATTATTGTAAAAAGCACCAAATCAAATTTCTATTTGATTTTTATAATGTTGTATTATATTGTATTATTAATTTATAATATCTATTAATTTTGATGAATAATTTATAAAATAAATATGATCAGATTTTTTTTACTCACAAAATTTAAATATGAAACTTTGTCCGTGACATTTGACATCAGTTTTAATTTCTGACCAAAATTTTTATTTTGTGAAGAATTCTGACCAATATATTTAAAAAATATTTATTTATTTATGTGTTTTACGATGTAAAAATAAATAAGTCATAATTCTTTAGATCCAACAACGTGGAGGGTGACATGTAAAAAGGACTTTTTTTCTTCAAAGTTTAAAAGTCATACTCTATTTTATTCTCTTGCACTCATTTTTCTCTTAAATTTAATGTTTAAAGACATTTCATCAATAGAAATTAATGCAGTGAATGATAATTTGTTCATTAAACATTTAACATATATTTCAATTTTTATGTTAAAAAAATGAGGAGGGTTCAAATAACATCGGTGTAACTTTTATTAAGTGTTACACCACTCAATAACTTTATATTAAATATGAATTTTGAAAATCCAACCGTTAGATTGAAAGTTCATATCTCTTAGATCATATATATCAAATTTTGTTAAAACTGAACAACAACTTGAAGATAATCAAAGTGTTCATATTTTAGTATATTTTGAAATATATATATTACGTCAATTTTATTTTATGAGAATGAAGTATCAAATCATCTTAGATTAATATAAAATTTGATATATATATATGATCTAAGAGATATGAACTTTCAATCTAACGGTTGAATTTTCAAAATTCACATTTAATATAAAGTTATTGAGTGGTGTAACACTTAATTAAAGTTACACTGGTGTCGTTTGAACCCTCCTCTATATATATATAACTAAAACTTCAAATAAGTGAATTTTGATATATGACTTAGATTTGGTGATGACTAACTTAAAATATCTTGAAATGTATATATTACGTCAATTTTGTTTTATGAGAATGAAGTATCAAATCATCTTAGATTAATATAAAATTTGATATATATGATCTAAGAGATATGAACTTTCAATCTAACGGTTGGATTTTCAAAATTCACATTTAATATAAAGTTATTGAGTGGTGTAACACTTAGAAAAAGTTACACCAGTGTCATTTGAACCCTCCTCTAAAAAAACATATATTTAAAATTTAGACGTGTGACAATAAACTCATCGAAAAGAAAAAGTCAATTCGATAATGAATATGTTTTAGAAGAGTTTGCCTTTTTACTGTTTTTTTTTACAAAGTATATTTCCTAATGAATTTTTTAAAACATAAAAAGTATTAAAGAAACTTTGAAAAATAATCAATTTACAGTTGTGTTTGGTATATAAATTGTTCTCAGATTACATTATTTTTGATAAAAAAAATATATTACAATAAATTTTCCTTTATATTGTGGATAAAAGATAAAATATTAGAAGCGGGTTGTTTAAAGTGAATTGAAAACTTGCACTTTTTAAAGTCATGAAATAGTAATGCAAACATTTAAGCATGTTGAGAAGAAAGTAGACAAAACAACAAATAGAGCACAGTATTTTTACGAGTATTTTTTTCAATAAGTTATTTGTAGTTCAAACTTAAGTGTTGTTTGAATTGTCTCTTTAAACAATTTTCTTAAGTATATTTTCAACACAAAGTCTCTTCGAGCTTCAACATCAAGTACTATTTCACAATCAAATCTCTATAAACTCAAACAACAAATATTTATTTTACAAGAAAGTCTCTAAGTTCAAACAATAAGTATTTTCTTACAAACAAATCTCTCTAGGTACAAACTACAAGTATTATTTTTACAGATAAATCTCTTTAGACTCAAACCCAATAAATTTGTTTCGTCTTCCTATCAAAAGGTGATCCAATAAATTAAGAATAAGGGTCTTCATAGAAATAATAAAAGAATATGTTTAGTGCAATTGCTTGCAAAAGAGTTCTTATTTCTTCATGATCATGAAACTTTTTATATAGTAGGTCAAATTAAGATAATCGTTGTAACCCCTTGAGTGTATCTCACAAATTTAATTCATCTATCATGTTATAGGTTCCTCAAGGTAAAAAGTGTTTGTTGATGCATTAAATATGTTTTATTAAATTAACACTTATTATCTAATCAAGAATGATACTTATAATCTTTAGAATACCAAATCGAGTATTTGTAATGTATGTTAACAAGAATTTTGTTTTGTATCAACTTTTGCTAACTTTCTCTATGATTTCAAGGATTTGTGTCATTGATTTTGACTCAAAGTATGTCTTAATTCTCTTTAATAGATTTGTAAGTTTCAAAAAACTTTACTTTGATGTGTTAGACATGTAAAAAATAATCATTGGTCATTATAACAGTGACGTATACGTTAAAAAGACACAATCCAATATACTTCTCAATTCTCGTAACAGTGACGTATGAGATACAAATTTTACAGGTAAATATTGGTAAAATAACAATCACTATGAATTCAGCTGTGATGATAATCCGAAATCCAGTAAACAAAACACGATACACTAAGCTTAGACTAGATTAGATGGCAACAGAAAGTTGTCCAATACAATTCCCAAGTGGCTGCAAATCCAAAAAACGAGAAAATTTAAAGGATCCGGAACTTTAAAAAAATCAATTACATGCCAAACTTCTAAAAATCAGACCTTAACAAACCTTTAGCAGTATTTGCCTATCACAATTAATATGACTAACAGTAAACACCTATTTTCCCCTAGTAAACTATCGGCTTCGACAAATAGAAATAAGAGTAACAAAACACCATCCGCAGCCACCCATCTTCACAAACAACCCTCAAGCACGCTCACCACGGATCCTCCTTGCTAGCTGGATATCCTTGGGCATAATAGTCACACGCTTGGCATGGATGGCACACAAGTTGGTGTCCTCAAAGAGCCCAACAAGGTATGCCTCGGCAGCCTCTTGCAACGCAAGCACAGCATGGCTCTGGAAACGGAGGTCAGTCTGAAAACACAACAAAACCCCAAATTAGAGTCTATTAATCAAAAAGACCATGCTTTTATAACAGCAGCAACCAAAAAATCAACACAATACCTTGAAATCCTGAGCAATTTCACGAACCAACCTCTGGAATGGAAGCTTCCTGATAAGAAGCTCAGTACTCTTCTGGTATTTCCTAATCTCACTGTTTCAATAACCAATTTCATCATTAGATACATATAATTTTAAGGAAAGCCAGACAAAATCAACCCAAATGGCTCCTAGCAGATATATTTTAACACTGACCGAAGAGCAACAGTTCCAGGACGATAACGATGTGGCTTCTTCACACCCCCAGTTGTTGGTGCAGACTTACGCGCAGCCTAGAATAAAAGGAAAAACAACAAGCTATTAGCAAACAATTTACAAACCCAATATTAATTATTATCATCATGATTCAAAAACAAACCTTGGTTGCAAGCTGCTTCCTGGGAGCTTTTCCTCCAGTTGACTTACGAGCAGTTTGTTTTGTACGGGCCATCTGTATCAACGTCAAACAATAACTTCAGAAAAATATTGATCAAAAAATATAAGGGAACCCAAATTCTTGTAAACTAGAGATCAAAGATAACACTCAGAATCGCCCAAACAGATACATAAATATAGGACGTGAAATTTCCTCACACCCACACCTAATTGCTAACTTCTAATTGAAAATCGTACGGTATATGGCATTATAAACTAGGTGACCAAATCAACGCACTGGAAGTCTAGTCTAAAAACAAACCCTAATTTATGCTATTCAAACAATGAATACAGAATTTGAATCTAAAAAAATTACAGCAATTAAACAAAAACATACAGTGTGAAAGAAAGCAGAAACGAAGAGAAAATCAATTCTATCGCGTTACGAACCCTAAACCAGACCCAAACGTTCGTTCAAAGAATCCAATAAACATATGACAAATTTGAACTATGAGAAAACCTCAACACCAAGCAATTTCCCAGAAGGAACGAAAAAGCGGAATCTAATATACATAAGCGCAAAGGAACACTAACCTCGAAAGACTTTGGTCTCTTGTTCCTAAGCTGAGTTGCAGAATCTGGAAGAAAAGAATGCAAAGGTTCGAATCGTTAGGAATGATAGGGTTATATATAGGGTGCAGATGGGGGCGTTAGAGATTGATCGGACGGATACAAAACGCCATCCGTGTGTTTTTGGCCGTTACAAATCGAACGGCTCCTGGTGTTAGGAACTGTGTTTTCTGAATTTGAATAGGCGGTTAAGATGCCATTTGGGACTCAAGACACGGATCGTGAATTCAAATTGCTTACTTTCTATTGGTTGCTTTCATTGACAATTGAAGCCAAGCCACGTTGGATTATGTATTACGGAGTAGTTTTTTTTCTTGCCCTTTCTTTTTGGGCTTCAGCCCATAAAGCTTCCGGAGGTCCTCTTTTAGGTGGACTTTAACAAAAATAACAATAATGGGTATTTTCTTTCTTAATGTATTAAAAATCTTATCTTAATATTAATATATATATATATATATATATATGTATATATACCTATTATAAAGAGGATATTTATATACCTATTTTATATCTATTACCTATTTTATTATAAAGGGGATATTGGGGTATGTAATTATTTTTTGTCTCAACTTTTTAATGGACTATTATACCTATTAGATGTAAAAAATATATATATTCTCTCTAAATGACTACATAATACCTTCTAATATTTTGTCTGTATATAATTATTAGAGGCATAAAGTATCTTGACCCCTCTAATATATATAAATATAAGAGTTAATCACCTATATTGTCAGTATAAAATTTTTTTACACTGCAATCAATTATATCTTTTAATAGTGACATGACACAATTAAAAGATATAATTGGTTGTCAGTATAAAAAAACTTTACACTGACAGTGTATAAGTGATTAACTCTAAATATAAATAATGTGAAAAATTCTCTATAGTATTTTTCGCTTTCTCTTTACAATTATTTTTATAATTATAAATATGTATAATTATATAACTAAATTAGTATTCTTCTTCTTCTCAAATAATCTCATTCACCATAAATTTTTTTATACATATTTGATACTTGACTATAAAATTTACAATTAATTGGTACCTCTAAAATTAATCCTATGCAATTTAGGGAACAATCATTCATATTCCTCTTAAAACCATTCAAGTTAAGAAATATCCATTGAGATTAAGGTTTTTCATTCATTAATTCATTCATTTATTCTTAAATGTTGACAATAATCTAATCACAAACATTCAAAATATAAGTTATAGCTTTTTTGTACTTTTTGTTTTAAAATATTTTTTTATTTTATAAAATAATTTTATTTAAAAAATATATATAAAGATTAAGATAATCATAAAGCATTACTTTTATTTCCATATATATATAATATATATATCAAAAAAAGCACTTCAACTTTTTTCTCGCTCAAATTCAAACTCCTTATTGAATAATTTGTTGTCTTGTTAATCGAATGTAATTAAAATTCTCCACATGTATTAATGTTTTCAATATGCATTTAACTCACTCATTCACATTTTGCATCTATTCATATTTTAAACAAAGCACACAGTTATAGAAAAAAAAAATGAGGTCACATTTTGCATTTATTCATATTCCCAATGAAACACTCACTCACATTATGCATCTTTAAGTTCCAAACTTTTTTGTTCATTCACCTTTTACCTTCCCAATCAATATGCATATTTTCCAACCATGACCAAACCAAAATTACCTTCATTTATCCCCTTTTAATTTTCATTAAACTACCTTAATTGTTTTAGATTTTTATGTGAATTTCATTGTATATTATTTGAATTTATACTTATGTTAAAAAAATATATATGAGATTTCATCGATTTCAATAGCTAAAGGTTGTTATTGTTTAAACCCCAAAGGTTAATGGAAGGTAATTGCTTATTTGTAAGTGAAACCATGAGTGGTAGATGAAGAAGAAGATAAAAATAGTGAAAACTGTTGGAAGAAGGCAATATAAAACATTTCATTGTGTAAAAAAATGTATTTCGTTATAGATATTTTTAAGATTTTTAAGGTTTGTTTTTGTTGAATTTGAGGTTGTAATTTGTTTGGTTAGGTTATTGAATTTTTATGAATTGAGCGATCTAAGATCACATTTATGGTTATGAAAATACTTTTGCAAATTGATTTTGTGTGTATGTGTTTATAACATTAGTTATTATGGATAGTGAAATAAACATATAGATGATAAGATAATATTTTGAGAATGTAATTGGTGAAATGAATAATATTGAGATTTGCAACATTTTATGGGAATGTTGTGCTACTTATATATAATGGGTTGTGTTTGTTGCAGACCCTTTGTTGTTGAGGATAACAAGGAAAATTTAAGGTGTTGAGGATAACAAGGAAAATTTAAGGAGAAGGTTGTTGAGTAAGACTTTACTCTTTTTGTATCAAACGGTGTTTCATTAGAAAACATTTATAGGATAAAAGATATATTTTAATGTCCCTTCTTTTATTGTAGTACTATTTTTCCGTGGATTTATATTAATATTTATTCAATATTTCTACTGTAATTAGAGCACATATTGCAAGATGTATAATGAGACAGTACATTTTTTTTTATTTAAGAATTGCTTTTGTAATAATTTATCTAGTTAATTATTAATTTGATTACTTTTATATATCCTGTATGTAATCCAAAAGTATATTCATTTATTTTGAGTTTCAAACTACTATTTTTTAAATTATCTTTACTCACTATTCACTATAACTTATTTTCATATTCAAAAATTAATTTATATATTTTTAAATAAATTTATAACAATTAATATATTCAAGGACGGAGCCAAGGGGGGACCTACGGGTGCCACGGCCCCCCCAACAATTTTAATTTTTTTTTATATACATATATATTACTATATGGCACCCCCTATTTTTAATATAAACTCATATGTATAATTAAATGAATAACCCAAATTTATTTTTTTATTCAACTTTTGGACTTCTGGTACGGCCTGCTATGTGGTATCACTTTGGAATTTTTTTTTTTTTAAAAAAATGTAGCGCCTCATTTGATCATTCCAATTCTCGGCCCCCCAGTATTGAAATCCTGGCTCCGTCCCTGAATATATTCATATTCCTTTGCATCGCACATACTAGTCGAAATCAAGTATTTTTGACCTGTTATCAAATTTCAACCATTAATATGACCTTGGTGGTTGGACTTAGTATGTGTTTTGGATAATGATTATGCTACACTACATATTCATTATTCCAACACATAAAATAATGGATTTTCTATTACTTCCTCTTTATTCATATTAAAGTCAAAAAGTTCCTAAAAACTTTAAACAAATTTTAATTAACTTAAGAATGCTATCATTCTAAGCAATACCCTTAAAGTGGTGATTATTTCCAATAGACACTGTCACTATTAAGAGTAGTTTATAAAGTAAGATTTAGTTTTTCACATAAAATCAGTACAATAAAATGAACTTAATTAATTTCATTAACATGTGTAAATTTATATATTTTTACTTATAAGAGTCCAAAGGGACTACTATACAAGGATTTGTTTCAAAGATATAATATTACATTTCCAATAATTATATTTTTAGGAATACTGTTGTTCAAAATGCTATACCCAATAATATTCAAAAATGTGTTTGAGTTTTAACATTCTCAAATATGATTTAAAAATTTTAATCGACTAAAATAATTAAAAGAAAAATAGGAGTTGAATGAGTGGGTTAAATATAACTTCCCACATTCTCATGAAAATAAAAAATGAAGTAAACTATGTAATATTTATTTTATTGAAAAAAATAATACTTAAAAATATTTTTACAAAACTTCAATTAGACATGAGAATATGCATTCCCAAATTCACATCTCCAAGAATGAGTTTTTAATATGTGAAACAATGCTTTGTGTTCTACAAATAATAAATGAACAGAAGAAAAATATGTAGAAAATAAAGTGAAAACTAAAGTTGTTTGATAGAAAGAAAGTACATGACAAGTAGAATGATTTTTTTTTTTGTCTAATTTTGATCATTCTAATTAAGAAATGCATCACTTTTATACTTCAAAGTTATTAATATTAATACTTTATAACAAGCGATAACATATAAGTAAATTAAATGAAAAATATAATATATTTTTTTAGATGTGTTAACATTGTTAATTGTTTAATGAAATAAAACATATTATTTTTAATTAAAGATTTAATACATCATTTAATTTATTTACTCTTTTAGATAATTGTTAATTAGGTCTCCAAAATAAATAAAAAAATTGTAATTGAAATTTTAGTTCTTAGGATTTGAGATTTGTTTATAATAATATTTTTCAATATCTTCATACTAACACAGTCACATAAAATTTTCATACATCATCATCAATGTGTAACATGCTTTAATCTATTTATAAAAATCTTCACAATCTCCTTAATCATAAGAATTATTGACTAAAATACTTTAACAAATAAATATTAAAACCTAATTTTCATTGATGATGAAATTGAATAATAACATGATTCTTCGAGTATGAAAATATAAAAAATATTTAGTCAAATTTAATGGATTATAAATTATAAATATAAAAGTAGTTTCACCGTTAAAAACAACGATTCAACTTTATTTTTCTATAAAAATAAAATAAAATAATTAATTAGTATCAGTCAATTATTCGACTACAATGCAATTTTAATATAAAATTTGTGATTAAAATTTATACAAATCAGTTTACATTATGTTAAAATAACTTAAAACTAACTTCATTAAAATTAGTTTTGCAAAACCTAAAAAGAAAAAAAAAAAAAGACAACAGATCCTATTGAAGTTATGCGGATATACAGAAGAATTATAATAATATCGGTGTAACTTTTATTAAGTATTACACCTTTTAATAATTTTATATTAAATGTGAATTTTGTCAACCTATTGATTAAATTGAAAGTTACTTATTCTTAGATTATATATACAAAATTTTATATTAATCTAAAATGATTTAATACTTCATTTTTATAAAACAAAATTGACGTAATATATACATTTGAAAATATACTAAAATATAAATATTTTAATTATTTTTAAGTTGTTATTTAATTTTAAATTTTTTTTATATAAACATATAAAGTAATATGAACTTTCAATCTAATGATTGAATTTACAAAATTCATATTTAATATAAAACTATTGAACGATGTAATACTTAATAAAAATTATACCGATGTTATTATAATCCTCTTCATATATGCTAGAGGGACTGAGACACTTTGTGTCTCTAATAATTATACACAAATAAATATTAGAAATTGTAGAAGATATAATTTTTTTTTTGTATTTAAGGGTATAAAGGTTCACTAAAAAATGAAGAGAAAAAAATAGTTACTAAAATATATCTTCTTTATAATAGACTTTATAATAGATATAGATTATATATATATATATATATATATATTTATTTATTTATTTATTTTTTGAAAGTGAAAAGCTACGCGGAAACATTTAAGCTCACTATTAAAAAAAATAAATAAATAAACTCTCTTACAGGGAATGGGCAAAATGGCAAATTGACAAGAATATTCCGTGAGGGAGAACACTTGCAAATTGCAATTAGCAAAAGCGAAACGAAATCGAGGTGCGTTTCTCGCCGGAGAGGAATGTGGTGCTAACCGTCATAACTTAACTTAAACCCACACCACACCCCGCGTGGAACTCCTTTCCACGCAAGAAACCCATTAAACGACGACGCTTTAAGGGTCTGTGTGCGGGTGCTACCAATCACACTTTACCTGGAAAAGAAAAAAAAACGAGAAGAAGAAAAAGTCAGTGCAGCTCGCGATTCCAAATTCGCGACGCAACCGATCTATGATCTATCATCTCTCCGATCAGTGTCGGTGATTCCACATCGCGAGAGAGAGATGTGGGTGTTTTACCTGATCTCGCTGCCTCTTACGACGGGCATGGTGCTTTTCACGCTTAGGTACTTCGCCGGCCCTCACGTGCCTCGCTACGTGCTCTTCACCGTCGGATACACCTGGTTCTGTTCCCTCTCCATCATCATCCTCGTCCCCGCAGACATTTGGGCGGTACCGTTAATCACTCCTCCTTTTCAATTTCAATTTAGTTCTCCTTGTTCTGTTGATCGGTTGCTATTACTAGATTTCGTCTTAATCCTCTTTGATAGAATCTCTTTCTCGCGTTAAGGAATGTGGATGTGCTTAATTCCGCTTCGTAGGGTTGAGTAACGGGGTTTTTAGGATTGTTTTGCCTAGCATTAGGATAGCATCCCTTTTGAGCTGTTTCCATGCGTGTTTTTTGTCATTAGTGCTGGTTTTAAGGTGTGGTTGCGATCGCAGACGCAGTATCGTCGCAGTCCTTGATGTTGCGGGAAATTGCGGCGATGCGGCTGCATTTGCGGTTGTGATGTGGCCGCGGAGAGTTTGAAAGATGTTGCTGTGATGCGGTCATGGAGAGTCCAAAAACCTTGATGTTGTGGCCAAAAATGACGGTTGTGGACTGTTTTTTAAAACACTAGGCATGACCAGAGGCATGACCAGAAAAACAATGTTGAGTCGGACGTGTGATTTGGTGATTACTATAGAAAGTTAGAAACAAAACCGAAAATGATTCACAAATATGGGACAAAGTTGCTTTACAAATCTCAATTGAGGAACAAATGCATCGGTTATATGGAGCTTTATAGATCATAAGGAGATGCTGGTAATTGTACATCAGTGCAGGTGAAAAATGCATGGATTATAATTAACACTGCCCAGACAGAAGTCTTCATCTTAGATTAGAGGAAGCCTTAACTGATAAAAAGGGCTTGGATATGGGAAGTTTTGAACAGCTGGGTTTTAAAATCAGAAGACGGAAGAAATATGTACAATTATGAGTTTCAGAAAGATTTGCTTTCCATTGGTGTGATAGTGTCTGTCCATTGTTTTAACAGAAATATTATGCTACCTTCATTTCATGGACAAGGCAGCTTTGTGACTTTTTGTTCTGCAATTAAGCTCGTGTCTATTAAATTATGGTTGTTATTGCATCTTCTTTCTTTCCTAATTAGTTCATCTTGACTGTTCTTCAGCTTCTACATAATTTTTTTCCCTTTTCCTTTGAAAGGAAGGTTTTTGGGACTTTATATTATTACAAGGTGAAAATAATTGTGGCTAATTGAAGAACTATATGTTCATTGGTGTCATTCATAACAGTTTTTTTTATGACAAATGCAGACAATGTCTTCTAACCATGAGAATGGAGGTATTTCTTTCTTCTGGAGCTGGTCATATTGGAGTACGTTTTTGCTTACTTGGTATGCTTCGTGTAATTCTTTTATGATTATATGTTTGCATCACTTTCATAGCCCTTTGCATACTTCAAACATGTATTTTTTAGTAAGGCAAGTAAATTTTACTTCATAATGGACAATTTTTTTTTGGTTAATGGTCCAAAGTTTTTTAAAATTGTTCGATTTATCACGAGAAACCTGCTTTGCTATCATTGTCTGTCAGTCAAACATTCCTCCAGGATCCTTGTTTTGAGTTGGAGGACTATGTACTCTGTTATGTATCTGATATGTAATATGTAATATGTAATTGGATCAAGCTAAAGTAACTCTTTGATGTGAATGTCTCTCTAGTCTTCATAACATCAACACATATTTAATCATCAATTTTAGTTTCTTTTGGTTCAAACCATCTCTTCTCAAGTGTTAAATTCCCCAATTTGTAAGACATGTATGCATTTAACATTTTTCCTATTACACAACAGACTTTGACCCATGCTGGCAATATCTATGAATTAATCAACACGATATAGTTATTATGTGAAGTGTAAACTTTAAGTAGTTTTGTATATTTGCCATCTCATATGTTTGCCTACACAGTAAGCATGGTTTTTGCAAGGAAGTATTTAGATGATTTTTTACTTATCAGAGACGCAATTATTTATTCTAAGCAGGGCTGTGGTGCCCCTTATTCAGGGTTTTGAAGATGCTGGGGATTTCACTGTATCAGAAAGATTAAAGACTAGTGTACATGTTAACCTGATCTTCTATCTAATTGTGGGATCCATTGGCCTTATTGGACTCGTTCTCCTCATTTTGACACACAATAAGTGGTTGGTTCTCATTCTCCTAAACTTGTTTAATTTATTTATTTATTAATGTTGATTTTAGTTTTTTAGTTGTAAGATGCTAGCTCAAAGTTTTTGCTGCCTAGATTTTTTTATTTTTATTTTTAAGTTAGATTATTATTTGCACTTTCTCTGGTTTCCTCAAAGACACTTGCATGATACCTAATTTCTTCTTGATTATATACTGTCATACATGGACATGATCTGTTTGTAATGTATGGTTGTGTGTTTTGTTATGAATGACTGATGTATTTGTGAATTTGAGCCTGTATAGACATCAAACTCTGTGTTTGTGTTTAAGTGGATAATAAAACTCCTACAAACCTCTTTTTAAGGGACTTTTGTAACACACTACTCTACTTGATATAGCTCTGCTTTTGCAAGTTTGAAAATCTAACTTGTATAATCCTTTTGAAACCTGTGCATTTACTCCCACAGGGTAACACAATGCTTCTGTTTGTTTAAAAATTTCTATAAAATTCAATATGTCATCTTTACAAGATGTTGGGTATATAATAAATTAATAATATAGTTAAATCATATGCTGAAAAGTTGTGAGAACATTTGAAATCAATTTCAATTTTTTATTGTTTTCTTTTGGATACTGGTTCCTGTTAGGGCCTAGGGAGGTCCCACCATTAGAGTGGTGTCTAAGGATTCCTCTGGAGGGTTCAAGGAGGGAGTGAGAGTGTTGAACCCTCTACCAGAAAATAGCAACCAAATGACCTAACTAGGCTCATGGGATAAAAAACTACTTTTTTAAAATTGTACATGTAGCTCATGACTTTTCAATAATCAATATCTTGTATGAATGATTTTTCAAGCCCTGAACTCATTATTTTCTACTCTCTGGCCAGTTATAAGTTTATTTTTTGACATGTTGATCATGGCTGGCAAGTAAGCATGCGATACTTTTTTTTTCTTCATTTTTATTTTTGAGTTTTAAATGATGCAATATTTTTTTCTTCTTGGAATGATTTTAGTTGGTTCCTGCTTCTGTAAACAGGAAGGGAAGTCTTTTGGGATTTGCCATGGCTTGCTCAAATACTTTTGGACTTGTTACTGGTGCATTTCTTCTTGGCTTTGGTTTAAGTGAAATTCCTAAAAGCATTTGGAGAAATGCTGACTGGACTATCCGCCAGAAAGTTCTTACACACAAAATTTCCCAAATGGCCGTCAAACTGGATGATGCTCACCAAGAACTTTCAAATGCTATTGTTGTAAGTGGTTCATCCAAGTTTTCAGCAAAAAATATTTTATAATTTTACTGTTGGATATTACTATAATTTATTTTTGGAAATTTTGGTTTTTGGATAGAGCTCAATATAGTCAGTCGTATTTTGTCCATGTAGCCAAACCATCTAGAGGGATAAGGCTTGATTATAGCTGTTTTCCTATTGTAATTTATACAATTACAATTAACAAGTTTGGAATTTTTTTTTAATTTTCACTTGTAAACAAGCAAGATAGAACCAACTTTTCGTGAGTGTGTGTGTGTGTGGGGGGGGGGGGGGGGT